AATAGAAAAGTAAAAGACATTGGAAACAGAAGTTGTCATCAATAGCAACTAAAGGCTCCGAGTGAAAAGACATTTTGAATTCCTGATGCTGTTTTCTCTCATGAGTACTATTATAAAGGTTTCATATGAACTTTATACAGAATCGTTCATTGGGCAGCTTCTTAATAAATCTTAATTTACTCCTCATTGACTGCATTTTGCTAATGGACTGTTTGATTTCTAGTTTGAGCTGAGTGAAACTCACTCTGCACTGACTCAGTGAAGCTACCTAAACTTTTGTTTTATTAAATAATCTCAACTAGTATTTTTTTTTAAGTTCCCTAACCATTCCAGCCCAGTCCTAAGTGTGATATTGGCTCAGAGCCCACATTTCCCCTTTTTTAGGTTTACTATTGTAACACGGGATGGCCATTAACTCATGATCTTCTGCCTTGGCTTCCAAGATAGGAGAATTTCAGGCATGTGTCACTACATCCAATTTCACTTTCTTGTTTATTACTGTATTTGTAGAAGCTGCTATTTCTCCAGTTCTCGTTGTTATGATCCAAAGGATTAAAATCCACATTTCCTCCTTTTGCTTACATTCATGGACATATATATATATATATATATATATATATATATATATATATATATTTATCTTTATGTGTGTGCTGCTACCACAACAGCCTGCAGGTGACAGTGCTCTCCTTCCTTCATGTACAATTCCAGGATCACTCAGGTGGTCAGACTTGGCAGCAAGTGCTGTTATCCACGCAGGTATCTCCTCAGCCCATGGCCACAGTTTTAAATGTGTGGCACCAGTGCCTGCTGAGTCTTAATGGAGAGGATTTGGCAGGAAAATAGTCCCTGACTGAACCCCCAGGTTGCCTATTAACACCTGCCATTACCTGCCATCTAAATGTAAGTTAAATAATCTTCCCAATTTGTATTTTGGCAAGATGCCACCAGAGCAGATGGACAAGTCTGTATGTAACTGGAAATTGTGCGCATACATTTAATGTGCGGACTGTGCGCATTATTCCTTTCCGAGAGCATCCGAGCATCCTTCTGCTCTCAGCATCTTTTGTGTGTACTGTTTACACCATATGCCAGCACAGTGGGAGGGCCCTATCCGACAGGCAAAAGGGAACACTCATATATTTCATGGAAACTGTTTCATAGAGTCAATTTATCTCATTCAGGGAAAGGAACATATGAAAGTATTGTGAGTACATGTTATTTCAAGTAATATATTTCCAAAACCAATTTTTGTATTTAAAAAAAAAAAGGCAAAACAATGTAGAAATGGCAGAAAACAATAGAAGTGTATTACTTTGTACCACAACACCCTTAAGCTATTAGAAGTCCACATTCTTTTTCTCAGATCCCATCACAATCGTGCAAAAAGCAACTTGTCCGCTGCCATTACAGTTCTTCCGTACTAATGAAAGTGTTCTAGTCCCTGTCTCTCAACAGTTCTCATGTTCGCCAGCCCTCTGAGTCTTTCCGAGTCTCCAGTTATGTGATGCATTACACAATTTGTAATTTTTTTCTTTAAATCCTCAGTATTGCATTTTTCAATTATTGGTAGTAAGTCTAATATTCAACCTATCCATAGCCGTTTTAAAGTAGGAGAATGCCAGTCTCACTAATTCAATCACAGCATAGGGTGTGGTGAATGGAGTAGCTCCCACCAGTATTAATACAAATGAGTTTGCCAATGCTCCCAGCTCTGTGCTTTTTAGGAACTTGCTTTTGTCAGAATTCTGCATTTCCACTTGAGACCTCAAAAAAGTGAATGCTAAAAGTGGATTAAACATGGAGGGATTTTGTTAAAGAACGTGCTCTTGTGACAAAATCAAAATCGTTATGGGAAATAAGGTGAGCTCTTCCATATAAACCTAGGAAGAGAAGTGGGAGTTCTGAATTTCTCTGATGTGCTGAAGTAAAATAAATAGATATGTAAGTTCAACAATCCCATAAAGGAGTCTTTAAAATACAGGAATCCAGTGTCTCCTCTGGAGCAGACATATTTGAGCATCAGGAGCTGAGACAAGCCCTTGGTAACATAGCCTTGAGGATGTAGTATTTCAAGAGGTAGCAACTGCAGTTCATGGTCAGTTACACTTGCAATGACTTGTCTCCATTCTCATGCTCACCGTAAACCTGCAATGTGATTAATCTCTTAAAGGGACCATTCCCAGCTAAGCCCATGAGGAATTTGGTTTGCATATTGTCAGTAGTGACCTTATTTCCATGAAGAATTATTCTTCAGTGACAAATATTCATATAACCAAGATCACCAATCTTTCCTGCTTAATAGAATTTTCCAGAGCAGCAAATTAGCAGTGCCACTGAGTTAGTAATCTCACACACGAGAGAGACAGAGAGAGAGAGAGAGAGAGAGAGAGAGAGAGAGAGAGAGAGAGAGAGAGAGATTCAACAAATGTTTCAAACTATTATGCCTAGGAATTGTTTCAGATATATTGAGCCTCTGAGATGGCACCTGACCCAAGAAATAAATTATAACATGTAGGTCCAAGAACTCTCATCCAGATATGTGGAGAATGTCTAGTTAAGCTTGCCTCTGAAGCACAACTCTCTCATCCTATGCTGACAAATTATCACTGTTCTTGGAACACTTAGACCAGATCAACACAAGATCCTTGATGGTTTGGATTACCAGTTTATTTTTTGTTTTCATCCTGAGGAAAAAAAAAAAGTAGATTCCTGAGATTTGCAGGTGATGTTTCTGGTCTCCACCAGTTTGATAACTCAGAGAGCTCTGAATGGCTTTTCCTGTATCTTACTTAGAAAGGACAGCATCAGGGGCAGAGTGACTACAATGTCTCCTCATGTTCTCCTGGTTTCCAAAAAGCTGAGCCAGACTTCCCCACCTTGTGACATAAGAGTTTCCAAGGCCAAAAGCTCAAGTTCTAGTACACAAGCACTTTCCAATAACTTTGGTTACATTCTGTACTTAGCTGAAAGGTTCATGCTGCCAATGCCAGGTCAAGGTTACTACAACTTTCAAAGGCATGGATCCAGGAAGTGCTGAACAAACTGGGAGCTGTTGTATTATATCTGTCTGCTACAGAACAATGCCAGTCTACACTTTTTTAACCCATAAGAACACAGAATAAATATGGATCTCCATCAGAGAAGAAGCTTCAGATACAACATCATATTCAGTAATATTACATATGAAAATGATGGGACTCATGTTTCAGTTTGACAGTGGGCTGATTGATCCCAACAGCAGTCACAATATTCTGTATTCCTGATCCTAGTAAAATAATAGACATGTTTGTTTTTTATCTCCAGTTTAGTTGGGGCATGAATATGAAATTTTGGAGGTAGGAATTGAATAATATATGACTTGTTAGAAACTATAGTTTTCACTGTAGAGCTCTGCTGTCGGCTGGGATAAACCCACCATCACTATAATCAGGTGCTGAAGAGGATAAACATGAATGTGACACGTTGCAAATAAGAAAATAAGTACTTTGGCATGACTGGCCTTTTGGTTGTAATCAAATCAGTTTCTGGAGAATGAGGTAAAGGTGTGCATTAAGAATCCCCCAGACCTTGCACAGCAGGAGTGAATCTCTGACACTACAGGATCTTTAATTCAATTGACGTAACACACACATTCCTTTTTATACTGAGCTAAATGAACATCATTGACTGATGCACTGGACTTTTGTTTCTAGGGTGGCCTCACATCTCATGTTTGTGGGCTCCACCTCTGTCAAAGTTTTCAGTTTTAAGACAGACTCATCCCCAGTGTTAGGCAACAGCATAGGTAGATATCACATAAATATGTCCTAGAGAAAAAAGATCATGTTGGAAATTTGGCAAAAATAACCAGCTATTACATTTTATATTGTTCCATAAGGGGTGTGTATGTGTGTCAGTCTCTCTGTGTCTCTGTGTTATCTTTGTCTCTGAGTGTTCACATGTCGGTACATGTATTAGAAGAGGAAATAATTAAAACTAGCACTTTTTATTAAAGGCTAACTCCACTTTTAATGACTCAGACCTACTTTTTAGTTCTTTATAAATGACCAACGGATACACATGCTGAAGGATAATAACAGGCGCCTCACTCAGTCTCTGGCTGTGATGTGACATTTGATTTATGCTGCGGCTCCCACGTTCTGTGGATAAGATGCATAAGGAAGTTCCTTGGTTTGAAAATGTTGCAGGCTGGGTTATTTGGTAGATTCCACAGCTTTCTGTGACCAAAGCAGAGTCTGATGGTGCACTTTATTGTAATGAATTTAAGTCAGTCTCAGCTGATCTTGGTCTTGGGAATGTTCCATTTTGGATTGTGACTTGGGAACTGTTTGAATAGCATGCACTCATAATCTACACATATTCACCCAAGTGCAGTCTATTCCCCATAATATTGATGTTGAACGCTGTAGTTGAGGTATTTTCCATGTACTGCTGATCCCATGCTGCCACCTCCCCTCTTCAGATAAAGCCCAAAATAATAGTTAAGAGTGTCATGAAGAGTAATTCTTTGTGAGAAAAGTATCTTCATTTTCTCTATACAATAAGAGGTTTGAAGAGTTTTATACCTTCCTAAATCTCACTTCAGGGGTTTTGTACATGCATAATGTTCAAGGCAACAGACAAAGCTGTTCTGTTCTGTTTGTTTAGTTACACACTAGCCAAGATTGATCTAGAATTCAGGATGGTCTCAGGCAGTCCCTGAACTCTCTGGAAACATCCATTCCTACCTCAGGCTCTTGAGTACAAGGTACTGGGTCAGAGCTGTGAGGTAAGGCATGGAGTTAGACTCAGCTATGGCCACACAACATTGTTGCCTTCTCTTATTTTCTTCTATTTTGAAATTCTGGCACCAGAATTTGTGGTCTCTCACATGCTAGACAAATGTTCCATCATTGAACTGTATCCTCAGCCTTTTTCTAATTGTTTGTGGTGTGTGTTTTGTGGCTAAGAACCCAAAGTCTTATAGTAACTCATTGTTTTTTGTTTTGTTCTTCTAGGACTACAATGATGAAATTCGCCAGGAACAACTCAGGGAGTTGTCTTACTTAAATGGCTCAGAAGAATCTGGCCGTGGCCGAGGTCTTAGAGGCAGAGGAATCAGAATAACTCCCATAGCTCCTTCAAGGTACCTGAGTTCTCGCTCTTAGTGGATTGCCAGCAAATGGTCACTGCAGGACTGTGCTGTTCTGCTCTGTGTCATGATTCCAAACAGAATTAAACAATCACATCAACACACACCATAATAAGACAGTAAGACAGGATACTTAAATAGCATTAAAAAATAACAGCCTTATCAAGATCCATATCATAGTAAATCGGTAATAATAGATGGTCAGAGAGCACCTAAGCAATTACACACATTAATTCGTCACATTTTTTTTGAGCTTGAGATAACCACTTTTGTAAGTGAGGAATTGAGGAACAAAAGTTGGATAGGCCAAGTGTAGTAGCCCATGTCTTTAATCCCAGAATTTAAGAGACTGAGAAAAGTGGGTCTCTGTGAGTTCAACACCAGCCTGATTGTCATGATGAGTTCTAGGCCAGCCATGGAACTGGTTTTAAACACAAAAACAGCAGCAAAAGTTGGGGAGACTATTAAAATGTTAACCTAAAATGGTGGATATATTCTGACTCCAGAATTCATAATTGTGAGCCCTTAACAGCTGTCCTTAAATAATGAGGTGGCAGTTTGCCCTGTCCCCAGGTTTAGGGCACAGAGCTTACATAGTCCTTTGCTTTTGTACAACCAGAAAGTCGTCACATGATGGGAAACTATGTATTTTACCCATGCCTTATATAGTTCTTGAAAGGATATAGCATTGTCAAGTTGATAGACATGCATTAGATATATCTCCATCGCTTAAGAAAAGCCAGAGCTCACTTTAGCCTGACAACAAGCTTGGTTATATGAAGGTCATGCACATATTTGGCTTTGCAAGATCATTGATGATAATGAAAACATTTTGATTTCATAGAGTTCTGAATTTTTTTTGTTGTTGTTGTTAACTGAAAACATTAGTTTACAAAGAGGCAAAGATTCATGCATGATATAGAACTCAGGCAAATTTTACTGAACATATTTTCCATAGGCAGAATAGAGACATCAAAAACCAAGGCATAGACAGAAGTCTGGGGTCATAGGGTCAAATCCCTTCCAAGGATGCTGTAGCTACTACTCTATCTTGGGCTTCCTTTTGCCATGCTTCAAGCTCAACAGCTTTGCCTGCCTTGCTGTCCCGAATTTATTCTGGTAACCCTGCACTCTGTGCATCCTTATACCAGAGGCCTTAAAGCAGTCTTCCCAGTCATGGCCTGGAACTTGAACAAAGAATAATAATAACCCTTTTTCTATTTAAAAGTTACTTCTCTCTCTTCCTCCCCCCTTCCCTGCATCCCTCACTCACAGGCTGTGTAATCCATTCACTACTTCTCTATTTCTCTGACTCTTATATTTGTAAAGGACATACCCTAAAATAGTATCTCATCTGTCATAATAAAAGTATCTTTAGATATGCTAAATTATTCTGTAACTTTAATTAATGTCCCACACATTTCAATCATTAAAAATACACTATTGGATTCACATTTACCCTATTAAGACCTCGCTCATTTATCAGAAAGAAATTAAGGATTCCCACTCAGCATGTATGTGGGTCAATGTAGACATTCTGGGAAATTAAATCTATCTAAAGGAAAAGACTTAAAACTTTTGCCAAAGCTTTTTTTCATATTTCATTCTAAAAACTAAAAACCAAATACTGTAATACTTGGACAGGTTATTTCCTTATGGATGCTTGTTGATCTGATGCAACATTTTATAAAACTTGCATTTCTAGGTGATTTTCTTGGATTCTGAAATGGCATCCTTGCGAGTCATCTTAAATAGGTTAATCCTAGGCTCTGTACAATAAAACCTCACCACATTTGTTGTTCAGACATGTCACTTAATAGTTTTAGCAGTTTATCAGGTGTATCTTAACTACATATTTGGCAGAGCAAAGAAATCCACACGTTTCTTCTGTATTCTTTCAGAGTTTAAATACCTAAAATAATATGCCTATCTTGTTGTGAAATCTTTAAAACAAATAGTAATAGATTTTGTCTATTATTAACATAGGGAGTCAGGTTCTTGAAGGAAACTTATGGGAGAAAGCTTTATTTTGGCTCAGAGTATTTGCAACATTTGAATGGGCTTTAACTTTGGTAACTCTTTCTTAATTGATTAAATAATGAAACACTTATCATTGAAGGCAGATTTTGAATGAACTTGTGGACCACACTAATAACTACCATAGAACTAATAGAGTTAAAAAAGAGGTATAGCCATACCTATTTTTTCAGAAAGAATCTCAGAAATTGCTGTGATAATGAGAATGAGAGCAATTGTCTGGATTCCGGGGAAAGGAGTGGCAAAGGAGACCGAGTCAAGACCAGGGAAACAATGAAGACAAACCTATGGCCCAAGGGTGGCAGAAATGAGCAGCAGGTGAAATACAGAGAGACCAAGCAGAGAGAAGAGTAAAAGTCCAAAGAAGCATCTTCCAGATAATAGTTTGGAGAAGTCTTAAACATAACTCAGGAGGCCCGGGGTCATGGAAAGTGTAACAGGAAACTGGTAGGTTTGTGGGCTTGGTGGGCTCAGCCAAGTGTCTTCCCAGAGTGCCGAAAATAAGAACTGAAGAGATGACATTTGGTTCCGAAATGAGCATGACGTGAAGATTACATGCAGAAAGTGCTCTTTGAAGAAGCCAGAAACTTAAAGAATAGTGCACTGGGGATTTAGCCCCGGACAGCATCCTAAAAATAGATGATGCATGTTTTAGATTGAATGGGAGAAGGCAATGGTGTTAATATTGCCAGGAAGTGACAGAGCATATAAATGAGAATCAGACAGACTCTGGATGAAGTTTTGCTAAGTCTGGGTCTAAGATCAGTTGAAGAAAAAATGTAGTGAAAAACCAGAATCAATATAAGCATGACATAATTGCAGAGCAGAGGCATTATATAGATTTAGAAATCTGGATACCACTCGCTAGGAATAATTATATTCAAGGTCTAGGTAATTAAAATCTTTACCTACCATTATTCATTGATAATAGCCAACACGTGTAGTTGATTATCAACACATGGACATTTTGATAGTAATAAAATGCTAAACTGAACAGGAATTATTAGACTAGCTGTTAAATCTGAGAGTATGTTACTGGTGAGGCACAGGCACCTGGTGGTTGTATTAGGCGCTTGTCTCGGTGTTATGAGCAAATACTAAATAAGAAACAACTTAAAGGAGGGAAGGTGGGCTCATTTTGGGTCACAGATTGAAGAGGACACAGTCCATCATATTCGGGAAGGCACTGTGGAAGATGGCCCATTGTAAATGGGAACCTATGGCTGGAAGAGTATTGTTCCTCATGTCTCAGCAGAGCTGAAAGCAAAGAGCAGATGGCATCAGGCTATAAACCTCAAGGCCTGTCCACAAATACCTAATTTCTCTGCCAATGCTCCCTGTCCTACAGATTCTACAACCTCCTGAAGCATCACAGAGAGCTAGAAACCAAGTGTTCACACATTTCACACCTAAACAACACCTAAGAAACCCAGGGAAGCTGAGTTCCACTTCACAGATACCTTCATGAAATGACATTAGTTTGGCTTCCCAGCTGCTGGACTTGAGGCTGGCACTGAAGTTTTGGGTCCCTAATGTCCTCTGCTCTAGGCTACTGTCTTGTATCCTCTCAGTGAATAAGCTGGGTAAGCCAAGAATTCCCTCCCAACACTCACTTTCTTCCAGGACCAAAGAGCCAGTTGATGGCTACTCAGAGCCAACAATGTTACCTGCACCTCCATGTGATGGCACACACAGCTGAACACCATGCTTGTTGAATATCCCATAGATACAGTTTTCCTCAAAGCTTTAGCATTGCTGCTGATAGTGGTGCTTTCTAGGGGTCAACATTCAGGCACAATAAAAAAAAAAAAAAAAAAAAAAGTGAAATAGCCATGTATTTGCCCAAGGATTTCAGATAAACATCCTTTCTGAGGTTTCATTAAAAAAAAAAAAAAAAAAAAAAAAAAAATGGCTGCATCCTTTGATTCCCACGCTTTTGTTCAGATCGCTCAGCACTAATTCAGCAGCCCTGGAGTTACCATGTGAAAATATGTCAGTGACCTCACCGTCTCAGGGGGTGACGGCATGCTGATAAATCACTGATATGAAACTTAAGCTGCTGTAACTGCACAGTGGCATCACTCCAGTTAGAATGTCACATTTTATTAAGATGATTATTTTTAAAAAATATGACCACACTGGAGATCACTGTATCACTGTCAATAACCCCCAGGATGGAGATAGTCTACACACACACACACACACACACTTGGTCTCACAGGTAGCCAGGGTGCCACATCTCAGACAATACTCTGGTTTGTCCTTTTGAAGTTTGGAATACAATAATAAGTATAGACCGGTTTTCTTTTTCATTTATCCATTTTTAAGTGATATAATAAAAAAATATCAAAATATGTTGCATGATTTTCACGAGAAGTAAGTCATAACATTTTAGGAAATGTATTTTAGTGTGACTCAAAACACTTTACATATTATATACTATCCATCAGAAAGAGGCCTGCTTGTGCGAAGGCTTCCTGAGCATTTAATTTCTTGTCTTTGTTTCCCTTCATCTGCATGTCACTGCTTTCCCCTAGGGGCCGTGGGGGCGCGATTCCTCCACCACCACCACCTGGACGAGGTGTCCTCACCCCTAGGGGGACCACTGTGACCCGTGGAGCTCTTCCAGTGCCACCAATAGCAAGAGGTGTCCCTACACCTCGTGCCCGGGGGACAGCGGCAGTACCAGGATACAGAGCACCCCCACCTCCAGCCCCTGAGGCTTATGAAGAATACGTAAGTACCCCCCAAGAAATCTGTAATTAGAGAGCTAAATTTACTGGCTCAGAAGGAAAACTCCATTCCACCAAAGTAGAAGGTAATGTTAGCTGCAGCACACAAATGTCTTGCAGGGGGCTGATGGGAGATGTCATTCTGTAAATATGTTTCTCTTATTGGTTAATGAATAAAGCACTGTTGGCCAATTGGAAAGCAAGATAGGTGGGCTTAGGATTCCAGAAGTAGGAAGGAGGAGATTCAAGATGGAGGACGGGGAGAAGAACGCCAGCCCCTCTCTCCGGTAAGAAAAGACCACGTGCAAGTACTTAGATTAATAGAAATGGGTTAATAATTAAGACAGAGTTGCTGATAAGAAACAAGTAACTGGCCAACAGCATTTATTTTTATTACATTATTTGGGGCTGGCGTGGTGGTGGGGCCAGACCGGCAAGGGAAAAACCTACTCCTTACAGAGGGCCTACATTGGATTCCCTGAACCCATATAACAGTTTATAAGCCTCTGTAATTTTGCTTTCATGGGGCTGTGATGTTCTCTTATGGCCTCCGAGGGCACCAAGACATGCATGTGGTATGTATACGTACATGCGAACAAACATTCACACACATAAAATAAGGATAAATAAATATATTTCAAAATACATTACAAAAATAATTTGTGTCTTTAATCTCCCTAGGATGGTGACTCTGTAATCTAAGCATTTATTTCATTCTCCCAACAAATACTCTCTTCTTAAATGCCTTCTGCAAATCATTGCTCTTAAGTTCATACCCTTCAGTAATAATTGCTATCATGGGCTGGGCACTAAAATCATATAGATCCTTATACACTGGCTAATTACTAGTCAAAACTTGATCCCCAAATATAGTGATTATGGTTGATAGGTTCCACTCAAGAAGATACTAATGCTTAGTGTTTGGTATGCTTTAAACATGATGTTATTGTTTTAACATAAAACACTGGAAAAGGTCTTAAGGACGTGGAGAATGATAAACTCAACTTCTGTCCTCTATATGTTCGTGCAAAAATGAGATAATCCACACATACATGTACATACCACACACACTCATATACACCCATACACACACATTGAAAAACACTAAAATGAAAGGGAAAAGTTTCCTTGCCATTAATTAAAAACTTCTGTGGTATATGTAGCACTTTGGAAGAGAAGAAACTGGGCTGACAGAATTGTGGTTTTTCGTGTATGTTTGCATTGTTGGTGCAGCAAGCATTGAGGACGAGATAAGAAAGAACTGCAAGAGCATAAGAGGAAATAAACACAACATTCTGAATGGGGAAGACCCAGAAAGGCGTGGTCTTCAGGAAGATTAAAACAGCAAAATCATGTTACTGTCTCACGCCTTTGCCTACTGGACCTCGGTTATTTTAAGTTATTTTCTGAGATCATGGGAACAGATGTATGAATGGACACGATCAACAGCAATTTCATAAGGCTGGCATTTTACTGGAGGTCTTAAGAAAGAAACATGCGTCAGTAAGTGAAGGAGGGTGGGGTAAAGAAGGCTCAGAGCGGCAGAGATGAGGTGGTCAGTTCTGTAGGATGGTCTGTTAGGGAAAGTCTCGTGAATTTGTGGACAGTGACTAACTTGGAGAAGCACTGTCTAAACTAAAGGGCTGACTTATAAACAGCATCCCAAGTAGGATACCCAGCAATTGTATTTATTATAAAGTTGAATCTTTTCATGATGGTGGGGGATCAGTAAGATGGGAGCTGGAACAGAATGTGTGAGGAAAAGTAGTAAATACATTCTCAGAGGACAGACTAATTCATGGTGCCAAGTAGAAGATTTTTGAGGAGACAATAATATGCTCAGATTAGATTAGTTTTTATACCACTGGTTCTTTGTAGTTCATGGACACCAAACCGTGACTACTGAGATATATTGAAAAGAAAAAAAAAAAATACCATGCAGAAGTGCTGTGACTCACTATAGCCTTCCTTGACAACATGGATGGCTTGGAGAGGAGAGAGGCTGGTGCAAATTCCCTGGGAGAGGGATCTTTTCGAATTTGCTCATGAGATAGGTGTGGCTGGGCACACTAAGGGGTCATTATCCTTTTTGTTTGTTTTTGTGAAATTTTTATGAAATGAAATGTTGGGGCTAATAGTGGGAATAGGCGTTAGAATGAGGAGACTGGGGGTGGGTGGGGTAAGGCAAGAGTTCAGTTTGGGATGGAGCTGAGGGAAGGCCTTCTGCCCACAGGAACCATGGCATTACTGCCCAGATGCAGTGTGCACTGTGAGGACAAATATTCCTAAACACTTATAGGCACCAGTAACTGCTTATAACACTGTAAGTATTGATTAAAAGCTAACCATAATATAAAATGACATTGTGTGTTTTTCTTAATGTCTTTCTACTATGGATTTATTTAATTCACAGTTGTTTATGTTTTCTTGAAACTAATCAGGCACTATTGATTTTAAATAGCTAGTAAACATTTGACCTTATGTTATTAGAATATAAACTTGGCATTGTGGGAATGTTCTGTGTGGAAGTTCCATAATGAAGTGTATGTCATCAGACCTTGAGGAATGCTTGGACCGAGCAGCTAGGAAACTGCAGGGAATATTTCATCCATCTCTTCTTGCCTTCTTGCCTTCCTTTTAACTTCTCTTTTCTATCCTCTGCTGCACTCCATGGCATTTGTTTAAAATGTATATAACAGTTAACATTATCCAAGGTGCCATGCAAAGAACACTTCCAAATAACGACAGAACATTGTCAGGTGATAACCCTTCGGTTATTGAGAATATATACCGTTTGAAGTTTATCAGCTTTTTTATTGACTTTCACCTAATAAATATTAATACAGTTGTATTACATGTATGACATGTACCTATTTGTTTGATCTTTGGTTCTTGAGTCCAAAGTTTCCATTTCTCTGTACAGATACTTAAGCTACGTGCTAAATTGTCCATTTCATAAAGTTAATACTCCATAATGCACAAAGCATTCATTTTTAGTAATATCTGCTCACCATTTTTGCTAAGTCCAGACATAACTATGGTTCTTAGCACTCAAAAAAACTTCACATAAACATTTTGCTGGCTAGTTTATGTCAACTTGACTCAAGATAGAGTCATTTGGGATGGTAGCGAAATCAATTAAGAAAATGCACCCATCCCCACCCAGAATGACCTGTGTTTTCTATGGAGAAACACTGGTTTTTAGAGGAGAGGAAGCAGACATCCCTGTATCTCTCCAACAACATAGCATGGAGAACAGGAAAGGCTGGGTACATAAAGGTTATTTTTTTTAAATCTCTTAAATCACAGGAAAACCAATTACTGACTATATTTTACAATTATTTTCTCTTAAAAAATAATTTAGTGGGTGCATACAAAATTTCAGATGCGTCTGCTGGACCGCGGCCGGCGGCGATCTCTAGGGTCTCTAACTGGACTACAGGTAGCGACCACTGCTTTCTGCTGAATTTTCAGATTCCTCTGTAAGAGGAAGGAAAAACAAAAGTTTAAGTGTCTCAGTAACAAAATAATAGCACCATGCTGCGCTGATAGTGAAAAATCTCAAAGGAGTTCTTAACTCTCAGATAAAATTTCACAGAAAAGGTTTCCTGTTATTATAAATCACAGTGTGAGTCAATTCCCTCTTCACAGGCTCTCCTGCTGAGCCTAAGCATTAAGTTTCTGGCCACACAGAATGTATGGAGGTAATCAAATCCATCCACGCCTGCAGCTGGCCTGTGAGACACCGCTTACAGTGATGGAGACCTCTGCTTAAGAACATAATTAGGCCATATATATACATATGTACACATGTATGTGTGTGCATGTAGATTTCGTGTGTGTGTGTGTGTGTGTGTGTGTGTGTGTGTGTGTGTGTGTATTTGGGTTTTCTTATTCCACCTTTAAATATTTGAAAGCTTCTTTTTTGTTAACGCCTTCTGATGGAATACATTCACAGTTTAGAGATCCATCATCATAACTGAGGAAAATTTTAAAAATTAAAAATTGAATTTTAACAAAAAAACTCACATACAATAAACTGGAATCACATCAGACCTGCCAGAGGCTAGAAGTGAAATGCCACCTTTGAAGGTGCAGCTGGCTCCAGTCATAGTCTGTTAAGTCACTCAGGCTGAGGCTGATGCTACCAGTGAGCTATTAATTTCAATGAGATAGTAGAGGCGGAGCCAGATGCTTAGGGCTGGCTGTGTACTGTCCTCTGTCTCTAGAAGCTCTGCCTTCTTTGTAACACAGTTGCTTCTCTCAGTGAAGAGCACAGCAGAATCCTACGTGGCGTTTGCTCACAGAGTCTGTATACCCGTGTTAGCAGACGGCCTATACTTCATCTCCATCCAGGCAGAGACTGGATGTTCAAGTCAATATTTAGCAAATTTTCCCTTCCCTTCATAAATACCTCCAGCTACAGAGAACTAGGTACCTCATGAAATCAAGTGATAGAAATACGGCCATCTACAGGGTTTGGAAAGCCTGGAAATCATACCAATCTGGGGAAACAAAGTTGGTCAGATAACCATGTGAACTATGGATTTGCTATGTGGGGCTCTTATCTTACTGCCTCATTTGTTACAACTCATTTTACCTTATCATTTCCCATTTACAAGCTTTCACATATCCCAAAAGCAGAAAATATTTTTCTCAAAAATTGACTTTCCAGTTCTTTGTAAACTGCTTTGTAGCAACAATAAGATTAACCTACTTATTATATTTTTTAGAAATCATATATATATATGGCACACACACTATGGCACATATGCACATTTTGTTAATATTAGGTACAGAATGGTATAAATTACACATGTAATTAATACTGCCTGTCTTAGGACTTCTACTGCTGTGAAAAGACACTGCGACCATGGCAACTCTTAATAAGGGAAAACATTAATTGGTGTGACTTGTGTATAGTTTAGGAGGTTCTGTCCATTATCATCACAGTAGGGCCCATGGCAGCATGCAGGCAGACATAGTGCTGGCTACACCTTGATC